GCCCACCACCAAGCATATCCGCATTCCAATGTGCCGCCTCCCCTAGCAACCAGGCGAGAGCTGTCCCCAGATGTTACCGTATCTTAGCAACGAAACTAGTCACCGGCTACTTCTCGGGTTTTCCCAACATGACTCATAGAGGACTGGCGGCTGCTGCCGGGTGTATATAAGCTCTGTCTCTCCATTGAGATTCAGTCTGACCAATCTTCTTGAACAAGCAACACCTCCTCCTCTGCCGCTGCCTGGCGACCCTCGCCTCTCCTCCGCCTGCCTGGCGGTCCTCGCTCCCGCCAGCGAGCATGTCCTTCTCTGAGCTTCCTCACCAACCAACTCTCATTCTGCCCATTTTCCTGAACAAGCAACATCTCCTCCAGCAAGCTCCACGCTGTTACCATTTCATTCAACCAGGAGGCCAGCAACAGGCAACATCTTCTCTAACGAAGCTCCTGCACATCTACCTCCTTCAACAAGCTACTCACAGCACGTCTCTACCAAGCAGCCCCACCACACGGCACCTCCAGCACCAGACTGTCTATCATATAACTTATATATTATACAAGAAAACCACATTAGAGTTTCCTTCCATCCTGAGTGCTAGACAACTTTAATATCTCGATACCCCTACAATGGTGACCCCGGAGTGACCGTGGCGGCAAGGGGTGCAGCAGCGCATTCGTTAAAAATTCTATCTGCCGCGGTTGCATATAGTTCCGGTGTCGTAGAGTAATCTACTGCGGACAGGATGTTGCGTACTTCTGTGGGTAGCTTTTGTGCGTGAAGCTGGCGCAGGATAGAGTCGGGGAGTCTGTCTGTGTGACGGGAGTTCAGCCGACACATCTCCTCCCAGAGACGTCCCGGGGTTGAGTTCCCGAGGGAGGTAGAGGATAGATCTTGCAGGAGATTGGGGCTGGTCTGTTGATAACACGTCTTCAAGGCAGCCCGCAGGGTAGCGAATTTGTTGTGATCTGGAGGGTTGGAAATGGTTTGTGAGACCCGCGTGGCCACTTCCGTGGGTAAGGCACAAAGCAGGGCGCAATACTTTTGTCCGTCGGTAGCTCGTGAACCGGCGAGGGCTGCTTCCACATGGTCGAGCCAGTCCTCGACGTTGTGGTTGAAAATCGGCAGAGAGATCCGTTCGTCCTCCATCCTGTGTGAGTGCTTATCTCCGGGAGTCACCATTGTAGGGGTATCGAGATATTAATGTTGTCTAGCACTCAGGATGGAAGGAAACTCTAATGTGGTTTTCTTATATAATATATATAAGTTATATGATAGACAGTCTGGTGCTGGAGATGCCGTGTGGTGGGGAGCAGCTCAGTAGAAGACGTTCGGGAGTATCGTGTTGAAGGAGGTAGATGTGCAGGAGCTTCGTTAGAGAAGGTGTTGCCTGTTGCTGGCCTCCTGGTTGAATGAAATGTTAACAGCGTGGAGCTTGCTGGAGGAGATGTTGCTTGTTCAGGAAAATGGGCAGAATGAATCTCAATGGAGAGACAGAGCTTATATACACCCGGCAGCAGCCGCCAGTCCTCTATGAGTCATGTTGGGAAAACCCGAGAAGTAGCCGGTGACTAGTTTCGTTGCTAAGATACGGTAACATCTGGGGACAGCTCTCGCTTGGTTGCTAGGGGAGGCGGCACATTGGAATGCGGATACGCTTGGTGGTGGGCTGCTACGCAGTTGTAGGGGAGAATTCCACTACAACAGACTGTTCGACACAGAACTGACCCACATTGTGTTTACAGAAGAGGTTATAAGAAATAAACTGTCAAAGCTAAAGGTCCATAAGAGTCCTGGGCCTGACACGGTGCATCCTAGAGTGCGAAGAGAGTTGTGCAACGAGCTTGCCGAGCCCCTGAAGATCCTGTTTTGTAAATGCCTGGCTGAACAAAAGGTCCCCAATGATTGGAAAATGGTTTATGTGAGTCCTATCTTCAAGAAGGGCGAGCGTCACTCCACGAACAACTATAGACCGGTGAGCCTGACCAGCATAGTATGTAAAGTACTTGAGAGCATTATAAGAGATGCCACTATGGAACATCTACTACGAAACACGGTTTTATGCCGGGGTGCTCCTGCTTAACACAATTACTCAAGGTATTGAATATTTGGACCCATATTCTGCAACAGGGTGGTATTATCGACAATATATACCTAGATTTTACCAAGGCTTTCGACAGCGTACCCACGAAAGGCCGAAAATTAAACTGGAAGGGTACGGGATTCGGGGAAATGTCTTAGCGTGGATAGAAGACTCTGCATGACCGCAAGCACTGTGTGATGATTAATGGCACGAAATCACCATGTTTACCCGTCACAAGCGGAGTACCACAGGGCAGTGTATTGTTTGTTTGCTTCATAAAGGACATGCTTGAAGCTGTACAATCTTCCATAAAAATGTTTGCCGATGAGGCCAAGTTATTTCGGGAAATTAAGAACCAAGCAGACTGTGAAGAGCTGCAGAAGGATTTCTGTGAGCTCCAAGAATAGTCGAAGATATGACTGCTAAGGAGGGGTATCATATGTCCCAACGGGACGAAGAAGCTGCATTAATTGAGACAATGTGAAAAGGACCTCGGCGTGTATGTTTACAATGAGCTGAAGTTCTCGGGCCATTGAGAACAGAAGGTAAATCAGGCAACAAAATTATTAGGTCTTATACGAAGGTCGTTCAGATATCAAGACGTTCAGTTCTTCGTAGCGATCTTCAAGAGTGAAATGCTTCCCCATCTGGAGGACTGTCACCCCGTCCACGAGATATGCTAGGGACTGTCAGTTGATTGAAAATGTCCAAAGGAGGGCCACTAGACTGGTGCCTGCACTAGGGCACCTCAGCTACCCTGAGAGATTGGAACGTCTGAACTTGCCTAGCTTATACAGTGTACTATAGACGGGTACCCAATTGAGGTGTATAAGCATATCGGACTAGTGGAGCTGGCGGACGCTCGGCCCACATGGGGTCACAGCTCAGGGTTGAAGAAGCCGCAAGCCCAGAAAACTGTGAGGGGTAACATTTTCGGAGTGAGAGTTGTGAACTCTTGCAACAATCTGCCAGAGAGTGTTGTGACGGGACAAACTGTGAGCTCTTTCAAGACCTGACTTGACCAACACTGGGGCAGGTTCAAATACATTCAGGAGCCAGTGCATGCCCAGTACTTGCCAACAGTGCGTAACAGAGACGTGACCGACCGCCCAAGCGGCTATCGAACAGTGGTGAAGAGGATTAAAGTAAAAAGTGAAAAGTTAATTTGTATAGTTTGGAATATACTGGGTAATATATATAGTTTAGAATATACTGGGTAATATATATAGTTTGGAATATACTGGGTAATTTGTATAGTTTGGAAGATACTGGGTAATTTGTATAGTTTCTAAATAATATTACCCTTCAACCGTACAGATTCATACCATAAACAGTTTTGGCGTGGTGGTGTGTTGGTTCAGTGGGACGGTACTCGATGTTGATGATGGAGGCCTCGGGTACGACTCCTTGACTGTCTCTTAGGAGACATTGAGCAGGTCGAGGCACAGAGGCAGAATTCTCAAAGGTTCGTAAGTGAAATTTGTTTTTATCTGAAGTATCTGTGTTGGGTGGCGATGATGACCTAGCAAATGTTTCGTAGGGTAGATGTATATTAAGTATTTATTGTTGCACTTTGTTTATTTTAGATTAATGGGTAAAATTGAGGGTAGGGGGGGGGGCAGGGGAAGACAGAGACTGGGGTGGATGAATCATTTTAACAGTTGTCGTCCCCGGAGAGATACAGCATCTAGAAGATTGATAAACACAGCCCAAAAACATTTAGAGTAAAGGGTCGTGGGTGCCAACCCTCAGACATGATGGTACTTTCATTATATTATGCTAGTGTCTGTTCGTCCGTCTGGTTTTCTGCAGAATTTACCTTATCCGAAACACAAAACGCGGGTGTCTCGTTTAGACAATAATTGTTATATAACTTCACAATCGGTTAAGATGTGTACATGGCTTTAAAATGGCCTCAAAATGCCCATGATACCGGACAGTCGGGTGGACTCGCTGTGCTCGCCATCATGTTCCCCTAACCAAAAAGTTCTTCTTGATCCCCCCCCTCCCCCCCCCGTTTTTTTATATTCCTGGTTCCGCCCCTGAAAGTAATATGAGCCATGCGTTTAATTCCCACATTTTCCCTTTTCTTCAAATCCCTACTTGCTTTGTGGGGCATTAACGCTGAAGGAGAAATGGGCCATAAATAAAAAACGAAGCATTGTCATAAGAAAGTGTTATTACCAATAGATAAATAATCATAAAAAAAAAATCCCTCGATATAATTTTATTCTCGGTAAAGCATACGCGTATAGTGCAACACAATATAACATAGCTTACCAGATACTAACACCATTTTCTGTGAGAGGCCTTCGTATAATAGAAGGGTAACTTGTATGGAGTAACTTACTTGTATACGTGACAAGTGAGGTTATAATGCCTTTATCTGCCTAATTTATACTAAAGGTAGTATATAATCAAATGGGGATGCATAATTGAATAGTTAAACGGAAGTACAGCAATGACGTGTGCGCTAATGACGCCAATATCCCTATAGCAAAACAATAATGCTGTTAAAAAGGTATACAGCTATACCGCCAATCTTTCATTTTAGGCGACACGAACCAACCAATTCTAACCTAACCTAACCAACCAAAACTTCCCTATTTTTTCCTTTTCTTTTCCTTTATCCTCCTTATCACTGATTGGCTCGTTAGCCGCTTGGGCGATCATTGTCAGAGTATGGTTTAAGACGAACACCCATGAAAATCCTAGGACACCTAACTTGCTCTCTCTCTCTGCTTGGCCCTCCCCCCCTCTCTCTTTCTTCCCTTCTATCTGGCTCCCTCAATCTAATGTACAAGATCCTATGCACAACTCATTCAGGACACAAACATGCAAAACTCATTAACACGAGAACCCACAAGCAAGCATTTGCCATTAAAAATTATTACTGAAAAACCTCATCTGCACCAATTATAGGAATACACATTGACCAACACCCAGAAAAGGCATACAAGACAATTGGGGTTGGTAATTACCTAATTGTGATCCCTTTCCTTGTTACTGTTACCCCTCGTTTGTTGTGTACACAGAGCAACAGTTCACAGCTAGCAGAGGTTAAGTACTGTATGGACGGCAAAACTTTTAATTTCCTGCATTTTTTTGCTTAAATGTTAATGTGACCCTTTATGATATTACAAACTGGTGCAGGATAAGTGACACATACATGTATATTTGCAGGATAAGTGATAAATATATGTATTATTGCTTCACAAACTGGTGTAAAATTTATACAGTACACGTAACATTGCTAGCTATCCAAACTAATATACAGTGAAAGGTGCTAGTGTTTGTGAGTGTACCGAGGTGCTCTTGAAGGTGAATTTTTACTCTCGGACACGAGTCCCGAGTGGTTGACCAATATGTTTTCCGGTGGATTTTGTGTGTTTTAAGCGAATCTGGGCTTCAATTTTGTCGGAAATTGCTCGTTTTTTGGGGGGAGAGCCTGGGACATCGGGGTTTTGGGTGGAGGAGAACACGAAAACGAGTCATCTAGTCTAACCTAACGTACCTAACCTAACAACTTAATGTAACGTAACCTTACCTAACCCCTAGCCGGGGGCTCCGCCCTCTGACCCCCGGTAGACCAAGCTTAAAACTATTAGATAGCATGATCGTCTTTCTCGTAAAACTCGGCAATAAACTTAAAATTATCGTAGGAGCACGAATCACACCCAACCTCCACCGCGGCCATTGTCAGACTGGTGAATGAAATTCAAATCCGTACCCAGGGTACTTCCTTTGAAAAAATTCAAATGTGATTGGTCGAAAAAAAAATCGCGTGATGAGATCGATACATCTTAGGTCACGATTGGATGATGTCAGTTAACATTGCACACGCATGATGTAAACACACTCATAATTAACTCGGTTTCATGCAGATAACATCTCTTCACCTAACTCAGGGGTCACCAAACTTTTTTCACAGTGGGCCGGATAACTGAAAGAATGACGAGCGCGGGCCGCATAATCATTCTGTTCAATACTTGCAAGCCAGAACGAAAGCCATGGTAACGTCAGAGCGTAGGCGGAGCTACCACGGCGGGCCTGATGAACTGACGTCGCGGGCCGGATCCGGCCCGCGGGCCGTAGTTTGGTGACCCCTGACCTAATTTAATGTAACCTAACCATTCTAACCTAACCATCCTAACCTAACCTACAGTATATCTAACATAACCAATGGGTTTGACCCCCCCTAAAATTCGTTGGATGACCGAAATGATAATACCAATAGTTTTTGAATAACACTAAAGGTCAGAGTCCGGGATAACCAACCACCTAATGACGTATATGTATAGAGGAAAACTAATTCCTTACCTGATTAATAAAACAAAATATTTTTTCTTACTTTTTCTTGTTAAGACAATGACATGTTTGTTTACGCTTCAACTGTTTTTACATGAACAAGATTGGTTTATAAACATTAATGCTATTCTGTTATATAGTCAATGTTATTTTGGTGATACACACTAATGACTCCTGGCATCGACCTTCCATACACACGAACACTTCCAGGTTACGTTAAGTTAGGTAAGGTTAGGTAGGTCAGGGTGTTAATATTTCAATTCATATGGAAAGGTCAATAGGAAGTAATCAGTCGCTTAGCATTTGGTCAGTTAGTTGCTGGGAAGCGTTTGTCAACAATTTAAGTGGAAATTTGGCGTCCTTCCGTGAATGATGGGCACGGAAAGTCTTTATTTATGAATTTAGGGGAAAAACCAAAATACATAAAATACAATTCCTCCATCAGCTTTAGGCCTATTCTTGAAAATAAATTAATGTTAAATCAAATTAAATCACAGGAAACATCATTACATGCCTTTTTTTGGGCGATTCATGTTGTCTCTATAATTATGGTACAATGATCTTGATGCACATTTATCAGAACCTACTCAAAACTTTCTCAAATCCATGTACCTATACTGTATTTTATGTTGAAATCAAAGAATCCAGTGTAGAGTTTTAGGTTGAAAATTTATTTGATCTTGCCATAAAATATCATGCATAGTTTTCATTTATAGAGAAGTATATTAACTTATTATTTACCCACAGGAAGCAATAGTGTTACCTGCAGATATGAGAAACATCATCTTAAATCATCTTCAGTGCCAATGTAAACTGAGGAACCAACTACCAGGGAAACTAAGGACTTTCTACACAGCATCTCATAAACTAAGCGACAAATCTACAAAACCTCAACTTGACTATGAATACTTGTGCGACCCTGAAAATGCACATAAAATAGATGAATTAATTAAAAGACGAAAGAATTTAGGAAATATTTGGAAAGTTCACGAAATCAATAAAAAGTTGAAATCCATCAGCCCATCATCACAGGAATATGAAGCGTTACACATGGAGTTGGAGAGAGAAGCACGAAATATTCCCAACAAAGCAAGTCCACATCTTTGGGATTATGGAGACGAGCCTAAGATATTAGAATTCATCAACCCTAAACCCAAATTTAACTTCACCCCAAGAGAACTCGGTGAACTCGGCCAGATGTTGGATATAATGAGGACAGAAAACTTGGGAAACATAACAGGGTCTCGGAGTTACTATTTTAAAGGAGCTTTGGCTGATCTTGAACAAGCACTAATAAGGTATGATAGTATATTATAATATTTAAAGTATAATTATAATTTTATCTGGAAATTAAATGTTATAAATTCAGTCTTAATTGGTTAAATCTTATACACTTCGTCATTCTCCCTCAGGTCAGGGTTAAGGTTGATAGAAATATTTTACGATTCAACAACAATACGGACCCAGAATTCATGCTACTGTATTTTTGTATCATTCTGTAAGAGGGGAATACAGTATTATTACACTAACATAATCATCCGGTGGTTAATAGTAAAAATAAATCAGGTTCAATCTTAAGACTTTTATCACCATTTTCAGATACACAGTCTCATATTTGTTGAAGATGGGCTTCACTCTTATGTCTGTACCTGACCTCCTGTACTCCCATGTAATAGAGGGTTGTGGCATGAACACCAGAGGAGAGCACAGTCAGGTGAGTAGCCACAAATAATGTACACTCTGTTGTACTCTAATATATTATTGTTTGATGTGCATGATAAGTTGCTACACACAACTTTAATTATACCTGAGTAATACAGTGCCGTATTTCCATGGTCCATTGCTGACTAGGATTATATACCCTTCAGATTCTTGGGAGAATGTCTGTCTGTAGTAAAACTGGGGCTGTAAGGTGATAATTTCTACAGAAGGTTGGCCTGAAATAAGCAATGCAGATTTGGTTCAGCTGCAATTCAGGCATTATAAATGTGAGCTTCGTATAATATCAAAGATATGAATCACACAATACAAAGCGCTCGTCACATTTTAGCATTTTGCCGGTTATCCAAAACAATTAACATTTATTTTATCAAAATTTTTGATCAATGGTGACATAATTTAAGACTGGTATGCCATTCCCATCTATGAGAGCTTCAGTAAAAGTGGGAGGTACAGTAATAAATGAGGAGTGCATTGCCGGGTGTGGTCAACGAGGTGGAATAACCCTTCAGTACATGAGCATCCTTGATATGTAGTGGAGAGACCCATCAGCTGTGACCAACATTTGTCTGGCCACTCGGCATCATAACAGGAAAAGGTTTGTAGAAAAAGAAATACGTATGTAGCCTCAGACAAATTCCAACTTTCACTTATATTTCTGAAAATTTTCATCCTGTCAGGTGTATCATATTGTCAACCCTAAGGAGGATGTCTGTCTGGCAGGGACGGCTGAAATGGCACTTGGTGGTTTCTTAAAAAATAAACAGTTAACACTTGAAGAGCTTCCCATGAAACTGGCTGCTGTGTCTCGCTGCTACCGGGCAGAAGCATCGTCTGCCCAGGAAGAAAGGGGAATTTACAGGTACTATAATGTATTCAAATATGTGTTGCTCTCCAGGTCTCTTAAAGATCAGTAACACTTTATTCTGATATTAACTGTGGCTACATCTGTACAGCATATGTAAATTTTCTTTTCACCTGTAACAGCAGCTGAGATAATTTATTATTCCATTCACCTAAATTTCTTTAAAGTACTAGAGATACTTATACTGAACATGCCATGAGGATGAACAGTGTACATGTGTCATTTTTACACACTATGTACTGAACACTGTCAGACTGATTGCATTATTCCCAGGGTCCATGGCTTCACAAAGGTGGAAATGTTTGGAGTCACAGCAGCAGAAACTGGAGAGGAAAGTCCTCAACTGTATTCAGAAATGACACAGATACAAAAGGAACTTTTTTCACAGCTTGGAATTCATTTTCAAGTAAGTAACACAAATGTACAGGTATTGTTGCCCTAGGCAGAATGCAACATAATACAGTATTGATCTTTTAACTCATAATTTGAATTTAATGTTACAGTACTGTAGTTCTTAAGTTTTTGTCCTCAACAGCACAAAGGTATATATGATTGTTTCCATCCACCTAGATGAAGAAATACTACCTTATTGTACATCACGAATGAGCACTCAAGTTGCTCGACACACATGTACAGACCCAATTGAGGCATACCAACTTTGCCATGCAGTAGGTAATATCTTCAAATCATAACTGGACACAGTTTGGACAGATCAAAATGTTGTATTGTATACAATTACAGAGCTGTGGACATACAGCATGTAATTGTGCTTTGACCACACCCAATTCAGTACAGTAAGGTACCAAATAGTATGCAATAAGTGGATGAAGATCTGTCACTTTGTAATGATCAACCGTTCTACCTTTTTTCTAGTCAGTTGTTGGGGCTAGCCTACATTTCCCAGTGTTATAGATCTTAGTACAGCACTTCTAATATACAGTAGTGTACACTAGTGGTTCAGCCCTTCAGTGTTGAAAAATTAAATGCTTATTTATGTTGTATGCACTGTCTTGCCTTACAGATACTAGACATGCCTCTCAATGACTTGGGTGCACCAGCCTACACTAAGACAGACATGGAAGCCTGGATGCCAGGAAGGGGCTTGTATGGTGAAATTTCCTCAGCATCTAATTGCATAGACTATCAAGCTCGTAGGTTACACATCACCTACAGCAACAGAGAAGGGATTCAGAGGTACAGTATACAAAATTTATTGCAAGCTATTATTATTCATGAATGACACTAAATATATGCTGATACATGTGGGTAAAGAGAAGCAAGTAAAATAAAAAAAAAAAAAAAAATTATATACAAGACTTGAAATTTCCTACTCTCCAGGTTTATGCAGTCTTGTATAGTAATGATTGGTAGATCTGTACCTAAAATGTGCTTCACCCAGGTGGGGCAGAAGAGCCTGTGACAACCTAACTTCTACAGTGATGTTCATGAGAGGACCCGAGTTCCTGTACTTGTGTGCTGGGAACACTGACCTTTAGCACAAGGATTAAACCAGCCCCACATTTCTTGGCTGCCAATAGTATTGTAGGGGGTGCTGGTGGTAGAGTGGTACCGCTCTTGCCTTCGCAAGCGAGATGTCACGGGTTCGATTCCTGGGCCGGTGGAAGTTGTTTGGACTTACTTCCTAGCCCCCATTAGTCCCTGTTTACCTAGCAGTAAAGTAGGTACCTGTTGTAAGTCGAAAGTTGCGAATTCGTATTCAGGGAAGTAGGTACCTGTTGTAAGTCGAAAGTTGCGAATTCGTATTCAGGGACAAGTTGTTGGAGCTTCCAATAACTTGATGACATAAACCATTGACTCTTCAGGCTTCTATGCCCTTGACTCTTCAGGTTTCTACGCCCTTAACTCATGAGACAAAGGCAAGCATGAACTTAGCATGCTTCCCTGTTGGGCACTGTAAACGCTTCTGCGCTTCACCTTACACAAAGATATAGGAAGGTGCCCAATAAAAAATAGTATGTATTATAGTCTATATTTAAAACAACAACAACAACAATGACGATAATACTGTATTGTACTGTACAGTACTACTGTATATTGTAATACAGTAATGATGAAATGATAATTAAATAATTGTAATAGCTGCAATAATAATAATAATAATAATAATAATAATAATAATAATAATAATAATAACAATAACAATAACAATATGGCATGGTACAGGAGCTAAAAAAAAGTATCTGCATACTACTGTGTGAAACAAAAGGAGACCAGAGACGAGTGTTGTCTCCTTATATTATGTGATAGTAATTACTTAACCGTTTCTTTTATTCCTATATACCAACTCGCCCCGTTTGTTGGATAATGAATGGTGGTGGGTGAAGACATGCATACCAACCCTCCCGAAACTTCACGAGTTGTACATATAATTTCGGAAGTCATCACACCCACCCTGTTAGATACTGTTTTTAGCTACTGTACACGATGGTAATAATATTAGTACTGTAATAATGATAATGACTATCATAATAGTAATGTCATTTTATAGTTTTCTTAAAACTTATTAGTTTCCTTTGAGGAGTTACTGTACTGTATAAAGAGTGTGTGGAATTTAGAAGTGAACCAAAGTTTGGAAGTGTGGACTCTATGGGAAAATGTGATCCGATTGATGGAGAATTGATTTATGAAAGGTTTTATACTGGGAAATGCTTTTAAATTAGTGTACTTGGGGCATCGTCTCAAGCTGTGTGTATTCCTTCTTTCATCACATTACAGTACACTACAATATTACAGCAAAATAAATTATATAAAAAAAAAATACAGTCTTTGACGTCAGGTGTTTTTAATGGCCAAAGCAAACGTTTCTTTTGATTTATATTCTATTTACTGTGAAGGTTTTAATGCTTTAACTCATACTGACCAACATCTTTTACAGGTTTGCACACACAGTGAACGGAACAGCCTGTGCTCTCCCCCGGACAATCATAGCCTTGTGTGAGAGTTTTCAGTCTTACAACGGAACCATCACTATACCCCCAGTGTTGCGACCGTACATGTCGGGGTTAGTGAACATTGAGCCACCGTCTATACCATGTAAAATGACTTGGATAAAACAAAAGACTTATCCGGGAAAAATTCAAGGATAAATATTTTTTTTATTTATATTATGGTGACAGAAATCTTTATAACTAGTAGACCACTTGATCTCAGCCCCTCACTGTACACTGATAATTATGTTAAAATTTTACAAAGCTCAATAGAACATGTCATCCAAGTGGTGAACTGGTGATACTGTATTTCAATTGTGAATTATACTTGTTCTTAAGATATTTATATAATTTATTTTAATACGAACTTGTTATTGAGGCTCGGTGGGCAGCCTGACATGTGAGGGAGAGATGGAGGAATATTAGTTAGTGATGATAATCGTTCACTTAGTCAGATTTAAACTTTTTCTCTCTTGCTTTGCCTTCCTTGCATGTGGCAGGGTGGGTGGAGGCAAGAACAGATACAGACTCTTCCTTCAGTGGCTGTAATACATTCACTCATACAACTGTAACCCTCCATGAACCACTCAAAACCTTGCTCTCCTGTAACCCACACACACCACATGTTGCTGTTAACCAATGGTCAATGGAAATTGTTTATAAAATGGTAATAATAAAATACACAACGAATGTTATTTGTTTACTGTCAACTTTATAATTGGAAAACCTGTCAGTATGATTACTTATGTTTGTATAAAACTGTACTGTATATTCAAATAAAATTGGAGGATTGTGTTAAGTGAAACTGACTTGAGATACTTTCTATAAAACACGGAAGCCAGAAGCAAATTTATTGTTTATTGTTAACTAATGTATGTTCAGTAGTGAAAATATATATTGTATGTCACATAATCCTTCCTTCATTCATATTGCAATTGTTAAAGTTAAAATTATTCAAAACAAACCTTTCAGAACACAATATAACTTATCTGATTGTAAAACTGATATGAAAGTGAAAAACTCCCATATAACATTGTGGAAATATCATCTGTAATATATTGTACTCCACTGACAGCCTTCAACTATGTATCTTCAGGAGAAAAGCCTCACTTCAGAAGTGATATAAACCAAGAAGGAAACAGTACCAGTCTTGTGATGTGTGAACCCATGACTTATTAGCTAAGGCCATACAGTATAAGACAATTTTTAATTTCTTAATCACTTCTACACCTTCAGCTACTTTCAACATAATTGGAATGCTTTGAAGAGGAAGTTTGGACAGACTAAATACTAATTACTGTTTACATAGTCTCATAAAATTGAGAAACTTTCCTAAAAACAATATGAACATTCACAGATCTTTTAATGGCAGATACTATTGGGTCTGTTCTCCATAGCAACCTGAAGTCTCGAGTCATGATGGCTTGTGCTGCAAATATTCCTTGTAAGTGAAGATATAAAACACACACCTTAATGGTGCATTTGAGCAGAAGTACAGCAATAACAAATAATACACTGAAATAATTCCTAAAGACTTAGCACCAGTTAGGATCTAGTTAAGGTGATATAACAGTGAAAATTTTTGTTCTTACTGTTCTTAAGCTTAAGTCAGTCACATAGGTACACTCATAAGTAAACAATGACATCTCTGACCACACCCTGCAAAATACAATGCTGCAGCTGCTGAGAATGGAGGGGGGCCAGAGTCACTCCCGAGAGCAGAGATGTTACTGAGAACAAATTCCAGCTTGAAAGTCATGTACACTAATACTGACACATTCCTTGATAAGAGAGAGGAGTTTGAAACAATACCAAAGGTACATCAACCTGTTATAGTAGGTGTTGTAGAACTGTTGTACAAGAACAGGAGAATCGAACGGGAAGAATGTGAATTCAGTATTGATGTATATGACTCGTTTATGAACCTTTCTCAAGCAACTTGCAAGAGGGGTGTGGTTATCTATGCAAGGCAAGACCTTAGAGCCATTCAGGTGAGGGTACAGGGAGAGGATGTTTTTGAAGAATCCAAGTAGTGTAAAATTAAATTAAAGGGAAGAGACTTGCTTATAGTCGGGTGTATCTACAGATCCCTAAACTGTAGCTTATTAAACCAAAGAAACTTGACAATGCAACAGTGCTCAACCCTAGCCGCCTCCTTGTCATGGGGGACTTAAATTATGGCGACATCGACTGGAGAAACAAGTCCACACCAAATGACTTAAATAACCCCGCTACTCTTTTTGTAGAAACTCCAAGATAGTTTTCTGTTCCAACATGTTAAAGACTCGACGCATTACAGAGGGGAGCAAACACCCAAGCCGCTGGACGTCATCATAACAAACGAGGAGGGTATGGTGGCCAAGCCGGAACACCTAGACCCCATTGGCACCAGCCACCATGTAACGTTGTCCTTCAAATTTAACTGCTACTTGGATCACGACAAAAACAGGCCAAGGATCAAATATTACAATGGAAATTACGAGATGAGGGGTATCCATTGACCTGACTCAATAAGGTATAAGAATGCAGACATTACACTGAATAGCATAGCCAGTAAAATGAACCATTTGATCAGGAAACATATACCCAAGACCAAACCCAGTGCCTCCAGGAATACAAGGAGACAGCTTGCTGCACATGAACCAAGCAGCGGTTGACAAAGTTAAGAAGAAAACCCAAAAATTCAAGACGTGGGTTTGGACAACCGATGAGCAGGACAGGAGGATGTTTGCAAGATCCAGGAACCAAGCAAAGTCAGAGTGCAGAAGGGCTGAAAAGGAGTTCCAGAGGTCGAGGTCAAGGTCAAGTCAAACCCAAAGGCATTTTACCGCTATACAAAATCGTAATTGAAAACTTGAGTAAGGAGTATCGGATCCGAGGCTTGAAGATGGTAGTTACGCAGATTCTGACCAGGACAAAGTGGAGGTGTTGAACAGTTTCTTTTCCTTGGTGTTCACATGAGAGGATGCGAACAATCTTCCTAAGTTTAAGGACAGATTGTTCGACACAATGCTGACCCACATTGTGTTCTCAGAAGAGATTATAAGAAATAAATTGTCAAAGCTAAAGGTTCATAAGTGTCCTGGCCCTGACATGGTGCATCCCAGAGTGCCAAGAGAGTTGTGCAACGAGCTTGCCGAGCCCTGAAGATCCTATTCTGTAAATGCCTGGATGAGCAAAAGGTCCCCAGTGATTGGAAAATGGCTTATGCGAGTCCTATTTTCAAGAAGGGCGATCGTCACTTCACGAATAATTATTGACCAGTGAGTCTGACCAGCATAGTATGTAAAGGATTGTCAACACGGTTTTATGCCGGGACGCTCCTGCTTAACACAATTATTCAAGGTATTGGGGTTTGGACCCAAATTCTGGAACAGGGTGGCAATATCGACAATATATATACCTAGATTTTGCCAAGGCTTTCGACAGTGTACCCCCATGAAAGGCTGAAAATTAAACTGGAAGGGTACGGGATTCAGGGAAGCGTCCTAGCATGGATGATGGATCGGAGACGTTCTCTATGATTTCCAGCACTGTGTGGTGATTAATGGCACGAAATTGACATGTGTACCTATGACAAGCGGGGTACCACAGGGCAGTGTATTGGTCCCGCAATTGTTTGTTTGCTTCATAAATGACATGCCAGACGTTGTACATTCCACCATACAAATGTTCGTGGACGATGCCAAGTTATTTAGGGAAATTAAGAACCAAGCAGACAGTGAAGAGCTGCAGAAGGATCTCTGTGAGCTTCAAGAATGGTCGAAGAAATGGCTGCTATGATACAATGCCCCGAAGTGTAAGAGGCTGCACCTGGGACATACCAACGGTAAGGAAGAGTATCTTATGTCCCAACAGGACGAAGAAACTGCATTAATTGAGACAATGTGAAAAGGACCTAGGTGTGTATGTTGACAATGAACTGTAAGTTCTCGGGCCACTGTGAGAAGAAGGTGAACCAAGCAACTAAATTATTAGGTCTTATAAGAAGATCGTTCAGATATCTAGACAGTGCGTCCCTCATAACGATCTTCAAGAGTGAGGTGGTTCCCCGCCTGGAGTACTGTCACCCCGTCAGGTCCCCGAGAAATGTTAGGGACTGTCAATTGATTGAAAATGTCCAAAGGAGTGCCACCAGACTGGTGCCGGCACTTCGACTCCTCAGCTACCCTAAGAGACTGGAGCGCCTGAACTTGCCTAGTTTATACTACAGACGGGCAAGAGGGCACCTAACTGAGATGTATTAACATCTCAAAGGGCACTACTCAGTCGAGTGTCCTTACCTGGAGTTGGCGGACGCTCGCACCATAAGGGGTCACAGCTCAAAGTTGAAGAAGCCGTAAGTCCAAAAAACTGGGAGTGAGAGTAGTGAACTCTTGGAACAACCTGCCAGAGTGTTGTGACGGCACCAAGTGTGAGCTGTTTCAAGACCAGACTTGACCAACACTGGAGCAGGTTCTGATACATTCAGGAGTCAGTGCATGCCCAGTACTAGCCAACACTGTGTAACAAAGACGTGACCCATTGCCCAAGCGGCTAACGAGCCGATCAATGGTGAAGAGGATAAAAGTATATCTATTCATCCTATAACCTCTGCTAATATGGACCCTGAAAAACGTTCAATATTACTAAAGGTGAACAGTAAAAAAATATAAAACTGTTCATAGAGACTTTTGTTATGTACACACGATGGTGATACAACTGGACACTACGGTACAGGAGACATGTTTAATGGTGACCTAACCAAGAATGACGTCACGGTATTACGTACAGTATGTCTTGCCCAAACGTTAAAGTGATTATTATTTTTTGTTACATGGACATACTTCAAAATAGTTACAGGTCCTTCATAACAATAAAATCACACTACTATATAACGAAGAACTAGTGGGATAATGAACGTAGGACGATGATATAAAGATGAACTGAAAGACACTGACGTCATCATCTTAACCTCCTACTCAAGAGAGGGAAACAACTAACAACCTTAAACCCATCTATAACAAAAGACGTACAGGCAGGTCATAGAAATATAACAATCTTTATAAGAAGGGGTGACTAAGGTAATACAGTACACGGCAGAAGGTAAGTGTTGAGGGGCACTGACGTCACGACCTTACGAATGTTCTCCCCAGACATGAACCCAATGAATGTCCATCACGGTGACAAAAAAAATCTAAATAAAGTAACAAGTACTTCAGCAATATGTAAGGTACTTTAGATAACTAGAAAGAGTGAGTGTGAGGAGGAGAGGTGTAAGGCACTGGCAACTTGATGGGAGTGTGGTAGCAGTCCCTCCCTCTTAGTGCCACTGACGCCTGTGGTGGCAGCCGTGCAGGACGCGCCCGCATCACCCTCCTCTCCTAGCCTGTCCTCCACACCACGTCTCCTGCCTCACCACCACCACGCTCATACAAACATCCCAGCAGCAAGAGCGGGCCGTGAGGGTGTGTCGTGTGGTTGACTGACTACCTGTATTGTTCTCACGTGTGTTGGTGAACTTGACACTCGGAGGTAAATACTTTCACTGCCAGATGGTAATAAAACTGACGACAGCTAACTGGTGCTGAACACTTCACGAGTCAAGGAGGTTAAATCCTTTGTGAGTCAGGTGATGCGAGTCCTCGTACTCACTGCTGAGTAAAAGTTCACCACGAAATAAAACTTTCAAGAAGTCGTGTTATTTTTTTTTACACTCAAAAAGTGTTTTTATCTCAGTTGTGTAACACAACGTACCTCAAGTACCGATGTTTACCTGTACGAGCTAAAATGGTTACACAGAATTGAAAGACAAAGTCGGTTATAAACAAGAATCTCCCGGAGCTGGAGGAGCAGAGAGCGGTGGTGATAAGACTGAAGGAGTGTGTGAGGATGAGTGGGGACAATAACAGCAGGAGGAGGGCTTGGTCAGGTGAGGCTGTCCTGGCAACACTGACGCTGCTGCTCATACCCGTGGCCTCGGTCACAGCTGATCCCAGGGTGGACGCCCTCGCCTCCGTACTGAGGGATATCACAGGTAGGTCCACAGTATATCTCTGCTGAACCATACTCACCATGTGGTGTACTACACACCTGGTAAAGTGACCTGTGTTGTCATCCCTGGACTCATGATGACGATGATCAGGGTTTTACAATATCTATGTATGTAAAACTTGTAACAAATACACTATAAGCATTAAATGGTAAGAGAGAACAAGGTGTACAGATCTATTACTATGTGTACGGTACAGTATATTAGTCGAATATTTATCTTGTAATATACAACATCTCCATACTTTCATAATATATACATATTTATAACGTCAAAAGGTCACACAGTTGTGAATTACTAGCGTTTTCCCACAGAACAGTCGTAGAGGTCAGCGTCTGATGACTGTAGAGGCGGCTGCTTCTGTCGTCCAACACAAACAAATAGTAGTGATGTATAAGTAACTGATAATGTTATGTTTTTTACAGCGAAGTATAAAAATGTTGAAACTGAGAAGTGAGAGACGCAACATTATACGTCAGTAAATGAGTGTAGGGCCTAATTACTTAACCAAATCTCACTAAAGAACCAACACTTTTTTTTTCTAAGTAATGACGCAAGGAGGCAACTGTCACTTTCAAATAACCTCACCGATAAATGAATATAAATTGGTATTAGTTTGTGGTAGACAGTGACTGTATACCACCAGCAAAATGGACAGATAGACGAAAGAAAAAAAAGGAAGTGAATGCTATAATCTCCTTCCTACACAAGTCAGTTTGCTGAGGGGGATAATAACGAGTGTGTAGGCTGTGTTGTGGGGAGCTGATGTTACCACCACCACCACCACAGTGTATGTTTGTCTGTTGTGGTGTTATTGTTTGCTGCATGGTGATGGTGATGATGGTGGTGATGATAATGATGGTGATGATAATGATGATGATGATAATGGTAACAATGACGATGATAATGATGGTAGTGGTAATGATGATAATAGTAGGCTAACAATAATGAAGAGGATGATGTTAATAATGATAAAGATGATGGTAATTTAAGGCTACAGCTCGTATATCGTAGTAACTGGAGACCCACATGACACACACACACACGACACAACCACATCATAACCCTGAGCCTACTCTATAAAGTTAATGAAACACTTATATAACACATCTTCACTACACGTCATCGAATACCATAGCAAAACTAACCAGTCGTCTCACTAACCTAATAAGATGTTGTTGTTGCGTGATTACAGGTTTAATTTATCTTCTTTATAACCCTGACGTAAACTAGTGATCTGAAGTGACCATAACTCCGGATTGTTGTGGATTTGTTTTAATTATTTTTTATTCTACGTTTTTTTTTTAGATTGTTTTTTCTTACATTTGAATCACACAGACAGACAGACAGACACACAGACACCTCCCATCTCTCTCACACACACTTCCCCCCAAAAACACACACACACACACACACACACACACCAGGGTTGCCAACTCGGATTTTCAAATGTCGCTAGGCTGGTACCTAAAAGTAGCTAAATGTCGCTAAATCTTCCATGAAAAGTCGCTAGCTATTATTCCCCCCCTTCAGTAATTTGATGCAAATAATATTTTCATAATGCCGACTATAATGGACGGAGTATAAATAAAATGCATTATGTAAAAATAAAAATATTATTTTTTTTAAAGTTTAATGTGCACACTTACCTATTATTCAATAGTAATTGCATCCCAGTCCTCTTCGTAGTGTGAACAACTGTAGAGCTGGAAGCATGTGAAGTGCTTGGTTCAGGTTCTCTTGTAACTGTATGCCTCCACAGTCCCTATCTTTCTTAAAATATCACTAGGAAGTTCACAACAGGTGTTCTGTCTTTTTAACCCATACTTTATTGTAAGAATTGCCTTTAATGTCGATAGTTTCATTTTGTTGCGCAATTTTGATTTCACAAAGTTCATATTACTAAATGTGCGCTCTACATCTGCGTTTGAATGCGGAAGAGATAAGGCAGCGAGTGCAATTTCAGCCAGATCATGGTAAGGGTTTTCACCTGTCGCATCTCTGTAATTTGCCACTTCTGACCACAATTTTAGGGTGCAGTGGCGGCTCGTGAAAAATAAAATGGAGGGACTGCAAGCCTCACACAACAGTAGGATACACAAATTTGACCTACCTCAGGTATGAGTTGTAGTTGATGTCCACGAACTCCCAGGGCATGGTGGTAGTGTTGGTGGTGATGGACCAGTATTAATTGAAAATAAAGTCCGCGCGTCTGCTCTTCGATGTAGCAAAATTGTTTATTACTATTTCATTAAAATCCTTTATTTCTGTTATCATTTTATTTTCAATGGATATCACTGCTAAAACAGACAGACTGTCATTCTGATAAACACTGATGTTATACTGGCGTGTATATTCTTTGTTCCTGCTTGTACTGTTCTGTTGAATGGATAAAACTGGTGTAGGTCTTCCTCTTGCTTTGATTTCAGTCTTTTCATTTAATGTCAGCTGGGAAAAGTTGATGTTTTGCAAATACTTCACTCGATTTTCCATCGTCAAAGGGTAATTAAAGAAAGCACGATTTAACCACACACAATGTAAACACGAGACTGAGCTGCTTCAAGTGCGGCGGCGGCGCCAATTAATAACAAACATGAATCGTACAGCATTGACAGCAACTATGAAAGTAACTTAAATTTTGGTCTGATTTTAATGAAAATTCACTTAGCAACGTATTGAAAATAATTAAATAACATATAAAATGATATATTTGTTGGTAGTGTATTATTCAGCTGTCTCTCTAAAGGAATCATACGCCTGGCAGTGAGTGTCTGGGGGGACTGCAGTTCTGCAGCCCAATGCACGAGCCGCCACTGTTAGGGTGTTAGATGCATGGACGGGCTGACATCAAGTGATCAGGAAATAGACGTGTCCCTCCTTCTGTACCACGACCCATTCAAATGTATTAAACTTTTCTTATTATGTATTGTCCCTGTAACCCCGTTGCTATATATTATGGCTCGAAATTAGGAAAACTGAGTTTTCATGGACAGTCCAAAAGTATCCAGAAAGTCGCTAGATTTCTGTGGATATCTCTAGATTTGCGACAAGTCGCAAATCGCTCTAAAGTGTCGCTAGAAAAAAACAAAAAGCTCTAGATCTAGCTACAAAGTCGCTAAGTTGGCAACTCTGACACACACACACACCTCTGAGGACGGGAAGCTGTTTGAGGTTATTTATGCACTTGTGGTGATAACTGAGACGGGGATTACCACAGCTTCTCCTCCTCGTGTTGTTGAGTTAACTTTGTGTTTTGTTAATATATCTTATGTTTGTGTGTTATTAAATCGTCTTCATGGATAAGCGGGGAGATGTTTTTAACTTTACTTTATTTTAGGTTTTAATGTGTGTGTGTGTGTGTGTGTGTGTGTGTGTGTGTGTGTGTATTAATCGTGATTTTGATCTCTCTCTCACGATTGGGCTAAACGCGAGAGTGGTGGAGTAACTGTTATGGGTAGTGGTGATAATGTCAATGGTGGTGGTTGCAGTTAAATGGTAGCGGTGGTGACAGTAATGGTAGGGCAGTGAATTCAAACTAGCATGGGGATAACGGTGCTAATGACAGTCAATGTTAGGATAAATGGTGGTAGTAAGTGTCAGCAGTGGTAGAGGAGGCGGTAGTAAGTGTCAGCAGTGGTGGAGGAGGCGGTAGTAAGTGTCAGCAGTGGTAGAGGAGGCGGTAGTAAGTGTCAGCAGTGGTGGAGGAGGCGGTAGTAAGTGTCAGCAGTGGTGGAGGAGGCGGTAGTAAGTGTCAGCAGTGGTGGAGGCGGTAGTAAGTGTCAGCAGTGGTGGAGGAGGCAGTAGTAAGTGTCAGCAGTGGTGGAGGGGCAGTGAGGTGTCAGCAGTGGTGGAAGGCGGTAGTAAGTGTCAGCAGTGGTGGGAGGCAGTAGTAAGTGTCAGCAGTGGTGGAGGGAGGGTAAGTGTCAGCAGTGGTGGTAAAGGTGTCAGCAGTGGTGGAGGGAGGCGGTGTCCAGCAGTGGTGGAGGCAGTGTAGCAGTGTCAGCAGTGGTGGAGGAGGCGTAGTAAGTGTCAGCAGTGGTGGAGGAGGCGGTAGTAAGTGTCAGCAGTGGTGGAGGAGGCGGTAGTAAGTGTCAGCAGTGGTGGAGGAGGCGGTAGTAAGTGTCAGCAGTGGTGGAGGAGGCGGTAGTAAGTGTCAGCAGTGGTGGAGGAGGCGGTAGTAAGTGTCAGCAGTGGTGGAGGAAGCAGTCAAATGTCACAGAAAGGATCCAGGAAGGCGAAGGAGTGACGAAGAAGGTGACGAAGGGGATGACGAAGGGGGCGACGAAGGGAAGCACGGAGAGGTGGGGAGGAGAGGAAACAGAGTGGGTGAGAGTTGAGGGGAGGCGAGGGTATGGGTAGATGGTGAGGTGAGGAGAGGGGAGGGGAGGAGAGGGGATGAGAAGGGTAGTGAGGGAAGAGGAGAGGGGTGGATGGTGAGGAGAGGGGGGTGAGAGGGGTAGTGATCCATCAGACAACAAATGAACATAATAGGGCTATATGTCACTCAGCCATCTACCGGCAACATGTGCAACACTCACCACCATCCATCTGCATGAAGTAACCTACACGTCTCTCTCTCTCTCTCTCTCTCTCTCTCTCTCTCTTACACTTTCTCCGTGTCACACTGTTTCTCTCTTTTCTCTCTCTCTCTCTCTCTCTCTCTCTCTCTCTCTCTCTCTTTGTCTGTCTGTCTGTCTGTCTCTCTATACTACCAAGGTGTCCATAGCGACCTTATAAACACCGCCTTAAGAGTTTATTATAGTTTAAATAATATAAATGCTCAAGACTCGCCATTTACGTTCATTGAGGTCCCTTTGTAACGAGAGCCTTCCTCAGCTTCTAACCTTCACAGTAATTATTAATGTTCTTTTATTATTTACATAACCATAACAATTCCTCCTCTACCCCTCCCCCCACCTCCTCTTTTAATGCCATCTTCCCTACACACACACTGTGGGGGTTACAGTTGGCAACACCTCACCGGA